GGGAAGGGAGTTCCCTGGGGGGAAGGGGGAGGGGGGAGATTTCATAGAGGAATAAGAACTGAAGTGGAACCTGCTCTTATGGCCACCTGTCCTAGACAATCACCTGTTCAAACAACCACTTCCCACCCCCACCCCCTTCTCCCTCTTGTGTTTTATAATATATTATTGTGGGTGGTTGGTGGATGCTCTGGTGTGGTTTGCTTCTTCTTTCCTATCAAACATCTATCGTCCTTATCTCCCCTTTGTCTTTTTTATGTTTTTTACTCTCTTGTAACACCTCTAATCTTCTGGCGCTCATATGACCTTATGCAGTTGCGAGTGCCGTAAAACCTCTACTAAAACAAACATAATATATTATGACAAGCTGGGTACCCCGTTTGATGAATGGACTCAAAAGAATCGATCGTCAAGTCATTGTGGGATCAGTGTGCGCTGCTTGTGAATGGAAGCCTCTCTTGTTTATCATGGCGTCTTAGTTGTTGTTATCGATCCAGACAATGGCGTCTTAGAAGAAGGATTTTTCTCAAGATTAGATCTAAACGAAACGAATGAAAAACTGAAAATTACACTACAGTGACTTCAGACTCATTAATATAACTGTGCACCCTTTAAATAATTCTGAACCACTGTTAATTTTTTTCAAATTAGAAAGTTAAGCGGTCCAGAAGTTTTAGGCAACCAAAGTGACGAACGTTCACAAATACAACAGATTTGTTTTTTTCCGACGGAAGAGCAATTTTTATATCATGGACAATGAAATATATCTTGAACACTGCATTGAAATGACGAACGGGAAAATTGTAAACGCCCGATAGTGTTTTTTATTTTTCAAATTTTTAAAAGCGAATGCAAACACTTACTAAATTGATAGAAACTTAGCTTGGTCTTTGAACTACCTTCAGTAATTTTTTCATGGTTCCACGTTCCGTAGTTTTTTCAGCTGTAGAAAACAACCATCCACATGTACGCAATGATATATAGAGATATAGATGCCCCTGTCCAAGCCGTGTACCTGTCTGTCTAAGACAACCACTTTTCTCCTCGCTGATGGGTGGCCATCTTTGGACAATTTTGACGGCATTTATTTCCGGAGTTTTATTTTGAGAGTGTCTCTCTTGTCTCCAGATGTGAGAGGTGCAATTCTCGTGGAAATAAAAATGAATTTGTTATTTTTTATTGCTCAAGCTTTGCATGTCAAGGATATTATTCGTGGGTGGTTGGCGGGTGCTCTGGTGTGGTTTGCTCCTTCTTTCCTATCAAACATTTGTCTTCCTGATCTCTCCTCCTTTTTTTGTGTTTGTTACTCTCTTGTAACACCTCTAATCTTTGGCACTTATATGACCTTATTGTGTTTTTTTGCAGTGCCATAAAACTCTTACTAAAGCTTAAGGATATTACCCCCCCCCCCCCCCCCACACACACACACACTCATAGCTCAACCCTGTTATAAAAATCTATAAATGTTTAACCCACGAAAAAAGGTATATTGATTATCCTATTTTATTAGGGAAACTTAAACAACACAAAACATTTTTAATATGTAACTGATATGTGTGTCATTAATAATTTATGCTGTGTTGCGCAAGTGTCTTCTGTAAACTGTGTGTGCATTATGTGATGTGCGCTGTTAGCCTTAAACACTGAATGATATACTTATCATTTTTATTAATCCCCAGAAGACCAGTCGAAGGAAAGAGAGACGACACCTCCCCCTCCCCAGCTTCCCCCTCGCTCGCACAGAGCCAGCTCCAGGGTCAGTGCCGATGTGTCCTTGACCTCTGACGATAAGAAAGAAACTCAGGAATCCCAGAGTGCCTCGGAGCAACCCACTCGCGGTGGTGTGGGCGGAATGGCGGAGGAGGAAGCGAAGCAAGAGGACGACGGGAAAAGCGGGAACAGCCCGGAGGATCAGAAGCGGAAGGCGAAGAGAGCAAAGGCGGCGCTCATACAGAAGGTATCCCAGGACCTGGGGCTTCCAAGGAGTCCCGCGCCGCCCGCCGACGGAGATGCGGGAGCTCTGCGCTTCGAGAACCCGAGCTTTGAACTTGAGGGTCAGGTCGCCGGAGGTGTTGCAGGGGATGAGGAGGATGATAGCGCTGCTGATGGGGGCAGTAAGACGGGAGAGGAGGACAGTACGAATGCTGAGGAGGGCGGTAAGAATGCTGAGGAGGGCAGAAAGACGGCGGCCGACGAGGATCAGAATACTGCAGCTGAGGAGGACAGTGAGACGACCGCTGATGGAGAGCAGGCGAAAGAAGTGCGGCATAAATCGGTGTCTGACGCGTCGTCTTCACCTTCTTCCCCCAAGAGAGACCGGCCGGAGTCGATGGCCAGCCACCAGAGCACCGGGAGCGAGCAGGAGGGTGAAGGTCACCTGGAAGATATCGCCAGTTCGGAGAGCGAGTCCGATGAAGATGGAAGTGAAGAGATTTACGTGAGTAGTACCTTAAACCTATCCGTATACATCGTGTTTTACTATCGTATCCGTACAACGTGGGGAACTCTGTGCAACCACTTTACCCTATCCGTACGTCATGTTTTACTATGGTATCCATACGACGTGGGGAACTCTGTGCCCCCACTTTCCAAAGAGGAAATTTACTCGTTAATCCGATCCGTACACTTTGCATAGCAGTCTGTCAAAATGATTTTTTGAGAAATGCTGAAAGTTTCAAAGAGATCTTCGTATGAGAAGTATTGTTGAATGTGAAGAATACAAACCTGAGGGTACAAAATGACCCTAGAGCGTACGTTCAGGATATTCGTATATATTGTTATGTTAGAAGTGTTTAAAGGGAAGCACTTGGAGCTTGCGCTTTTGAGGGCTGTATAAATGATATATACAGTTAGAATTGGTTGCTTTCAAGCACAAGGGGGCTATCCCGAAAAATGCTATTTTGAGAAAATCAAAGGTAAAGTTTTTACCCCAAGTTCAGTTTCTTTAAAAGACAAGGAAAGTTTTCTCTATAACCAAACAAATATACACACCAATGAAACCGAACTTCCCCTTTAGGTAGGGCAATGCCCACTTTTGGTGTGGGTCAAGATTTCTGGAAACTCCCAAAATCTGGGTTAGCCCGCTTGTCCTTAAAAGCGACCAATTGTACAAAATGGCCACCCAATGTGGAGGAGACAGGGATTGTCTTAGACAGGTGGATGTCTTGGGCAGAGAAGATAAAAGGGAAGAAAATGAACATTTTTTCATTTTGGAGTTCATCCATCATACATAATATGTGTCTCAAAGCGGTGGAATCAGGCACTCGTCAATTTTTGTGCATGTGGAGTAATTGATATCATGTAAAAGCTCATCTATTTGCCTTGCTTTCAATGAAATAAATATCCATTTATCTTGAACAAAATGCAATATATTTTATTGAAGGAAGTGAGGTCACCCTGTTTCATTGGCGAAATAAAAAATGAGAAAAAGTTTGGTGACTCCAATAGCTAGAGTCCTTGAAAATTAAAAAGTGAAATATTTTGTGCCCTTTCATCAATGTTTTTCCATAAAATTCATGTAGAAATGTGTTTTTATATTGTCATGAAATAAAAGAGGTAGAGCCTAAAAATAAAAATTCAATAAAAGTTTCCAAACTTTCGGAAAAATGCCTGTTTCTCCGATTTCTGTGTTTTGACGAGCGCCTGATTTCACCATGCTGCCTCACATATACGTTATCTTTTATGTGTGTTGCACTGCCAGTGTACGAGTTTGATAGACAGGAGTTTTGAAATTGATCAGTTTTTTGTGAAATTATCAGATGATCTTCTCAATTTGGTAGAAAATCCCCCTCTATAAATTGTGTTAAACTCGACAAAACTTCATAATTGGCAGTTTGAAAATTTAGGTTTTTGCAAAGTTTTTATGCTAATCTTTTGAGAATGGCTCATATTTCTGTATACAGTGCCTGATAGTAGTACGTTTGAGGTAATAATAGATAGCATTTGTATAGCGCTAATCCCCGCTCAACAGCAAGCTCTATGCGCTTCACAATCTATACTATTCATTACCCCAGCATTACCTGAGAGCATTTTAAAACAACCCCAACTTCCTGGGAAGCATACAGTGCAAGCAGCCATTTATAGGTGCTAAAACACTAACATACTGACAAGGTAGAAGTGGAATAGTTTGTGGACTTGTATTTTTTGTTGTTGTCTTCAACGTTGATTGTTTTGTTTTTGCTCTTGATCAGGCTCAGAGGAAAGCGTTGAAGGTTTTCTACATTGCTGAAGAAATCATGACGTCTGAGAAGTCTTTTGTGGATGTTCTTAAACTCCTCAATATTGTAAGTATAACGTAGTTCTTTAGTTTTAGTTTTAGTAGAGGTTTTACGGCGCTCGCAACTGCATAAAGTCAAATGAGCGCCAGAAGATTAGAGGTGTTACAAGAGAGTATAAAACTTAAAAAAGAAGGAAGATAGATAAGGATGATAGATGTTTCATAGGAAAGAAGAAGCAAACTACACCAGAGCACCTGCCAACCACTCACAAAGTGGTTCCTGATTCTGTACTCTGTATGATTGCTGTGTGTGCAAGTTCTATAGAAGCTCTTGACATGCATGTGAAGTGAAGCATTTTGCATCATCTGTCTCGTAATTCTGAAGCCAATAGAAAAGTCTGCAAGCTGCGGATATCTACATGTGGAAGTGAAGCTTTTAAATGTTCAAAATGTTGCAAACTCTCTTCTGCCCAAATTGTTCTTATTGGCTATAGCAGAAGCCACAAGTCATGGAAATCCTTCTTTCTTCTATTTCTCAACAACTGATATTCTCCTGTGCAGATGCTGTGGTGATTATGAGACATTGACTGAAAAACTATTTTTGTTCTTCTTGTTTTCCTTGTTGTTCTTCTTGTTCTTGTTCTTGTTCTTGTTCTTGTTCTTCTTCGTGTTCTTGCTATTTTTTTTGTTCTTGTTCTTCTTGTTTTTCTTGTTGTTCTTCTTGTTCTTGTTCTTGTTCTTGTTCTTGTTCTTCTTCGTGTTCTTGCTATTTTTTTTGTTCTTGTTCTTCTTGTTTTTCTTGTTCTGTTTCTTGCTCTTGTTGTTTTTCTTCATACAAATGATTTGATATTTTGAAATTCTTTGTGTCAGGAAATTCATTTTCCGAGTGAGAGTTTTACAATTGAGGATAGTGATGACTTTGTCATCTCACTTTGATGTGTTTTTCTCACCCCCCCCCCCCCAAATTTTTTTTCAATTTGTTCCAATTTCTGTTCCCTCAGACTATGTTCTTTTTCTTTTCTTTTTCAGGATTTCCGGAAACACATCTCCACCGCTACTGAAAAGCAGGGTCAGCCGGTGATTCCCACAGAAACTCTGAATAAAATTTTGGACTATCTGCCGCAGCTACAAAATTTCAACGAAGAACTGCTGAAAGATCTAACAGAACGCATCAATAATTGGTGAGAATTATTTTAAAATTGTTGTATGTAAGAGAAGCACGGTCGCCTGATTTTTTTCTAATAAAATTTTTTTTTTCGAATTAGTGTGATGAGTGAGACAAATTTTATACAATTTTACTGGCCAAATTTCAAGAAAGGCTTAATAATAAATGACTGTCTGGTCATTTTTTAAAAACATAAAGTGTCTTTGATCTTTTGCTCCTTTTATTTTTTTCTTCCTCTCCTTTTCCTCTGCCTCTTCTTTCCACAGAAATGGCTTGTCGTGTAATTTCAGTGGAGCTGATGAAGTATGCACTAGTATTATGGGTGGTTGGCGGATGTTCTTGTTGGGTTTTCTCCTTTTTTCTTATCAAACATCTGTTGTCCTTATACCTCTTCTTTCTTTCCCTTGTATATTACTCTCTGGTAAACGTGGGTGGTTGGCGGATGCTCTAGTGTGGTTTGCTCCTTCTTTCCTATGAAACATCTGTCGTCCTTATCTTCTTTTTTTATGTTTGTTACTCTCTTGTCACACCTCTAATCTTCTGGCGCTCATATGACCTTATGCAGTTGCGAGCGCCGTAAAACCTCTACTAAAACTAAAAAAAAACTCTCTGGTAACACCTCTAATTGTGTTGTAGGGGGTGTAAAACTCTTACTACAACTTTAAAAAAGCCTAAAGAAAGTATTGAGCTGCTGGTTCAATGTTCCCATCCTCCACAGGGAGAACAACAAACGTCTGTCCGACATTTTCGTCAAGAAGGGACCTTTTCTCAAGCTTTATTCCTCCTACATTCGCAATTTTGAGAACGCTACGGCAATCCTCGACGACTCTTGTAAGAAGAATCCTGCTTTTGCGGCAGCCTTGAAGGAGTTTGAGGTGAGTCGTTTGGGGATGTTTCTATTTCAAATTCAGTGCCAATTTATTAGTGAGAATTCTTTTCTGCTTCAAAGTTTACCCACGAATTGCTTGCTCTCGGAATACTCATGTATTAAAATTTTTGATGATTCTGTAACGAAAGTGTAAAAAAGGCTCAGCTGGTACCATGTTGGGTCATTGTGTTGATGGCCCTGTTTTAATCGCTTAGTGGGTGGTTGGCGGGTGCTCTGTTGTGGTTTGCTTCTTCTTTCCTATCAAACATCTATCGTCATTTCCTCCCCTTCTTCTTTTTTATGTTTGTTACTCTCTTGTAACACCTCTGATCTTCTGGCGCTCATATGACCTTATGCAGTTGCGAGCACTGTAAATCCTCAAATAAAACTAATTTGAATAACTTTATAGTGTCCAAAGGAGTGTAAAACTCATGCTATTACTAGATCTATGTATCGTCTAATTTTGACTCTAACTGTGAATGTACGGGCCCATTGATTTTGAGAAAATTGAGAAAAAAAAAAGTATTTTCTTGCTTGTTATGTACCAGAATTGCACAAAATTCCAAGTAGTGTGGGTTTTTTTTAATACGTATTAAGATATCACTAATTGTAATTAAGGTTGGGAATAACGTAATTTGAGACAAAAACAAGTGTATGGCCTAATTTGGTGGATACTTTTTTAGAGTTGGTCATGGTCGATTGAAATGTACACGTGTGTATGTCATGTATCGTGTTCTCACCTGAAAAATAGAAGGCAAACAAGGCAAGGGTAGACCAAGAGAAACTTATTTGGAAAACCTGAACAGGTGGGTGACAGGGAAACACCGGGATAATATGTTTTTTTTAGTGCCTCTGGAAGGAGAAAACCCCCCTGGGGCAGTACCAGTGTCTTTAGGCCATTACCAAAGAGGGGACATTCTCATTCATGCTCAGTAGAATTGTAAATGGGCTGATTTATCATGTCACGCGCATAACTGTGCCTGAATTACAACAGGGAACTGCTGCTTTTTCTTTCCAAATCCTTACTATCGTCATTTTTCCTCTACTTCTTTTGTATGTTTGTCACACTCTTGTGACCCACTATTTCCGGGGTGCCTTGATAGTCGAAGCAGACTTTGTGCTGTTGAAGCTAGAGAGCTGAGCAGAGTAAGTCTGATTCCCTGTAAGGACTTTTCTGTTTGATCCACCCCTTGGGGCTCATATGTCCTTATGCAGTTGCGAGTGCTGTAAAACCTCTACTAAAACTAAAACTGGAAGGCGAAATGAATGGAGAACCATGATTGCCAATGTAAATTTCTGATCTGGCACTTTATGATGATGATGTTCGATGATGATGATGTTGACGATGATGATTATGATGATGTTGAAGACATGAATATACGCTCTTTGGTTTTTACAGCTAGTGTAGATCTAGTCCTTTATATTGTGAATGTTCCTGATGAAGCCCGTTGAGTGCGAAACGTTGAACTTGTCATTAAATATTTTGGAAATACTACCAGGTGTTAACCGTTTTACTATATTCTGTATACATTGATGATGATGATGATTATTGATGATGATAATGGTTGATGATGATAATGATGATGTTACTTTCCATTCTGCAATTTTAATTTCAGATGAGTCCTCGCTGTGCGAGCCTGGCGTTGAAGCACTACATGCTGAAGCCCATTCAGAGAATTCCACAGTACAAGCTTTTGCTTCAGGGTAGGTAGGAAATCCCGCAACCATGGGTGAACACTGTATATGTTCGTCAGTATTTCTCATTATCTCTTCCATTATTTCTTCTGAACCTCTTACTCAACGAAGAAAAATTATACGTTCATGATTCTTATATTTTCAGCTTCTGCATACAATTAACTTTGACTTGATGTTTGCATAGGTTGTAATGATTGGTTCATTCGATTCATTCGATTCATTCGATTCATTCGATTCATTCGATTCATTGGATTCATTCGGTTCATTCGGTTCATTGGATTCATTCGGTTCATTCGATTCATTCGATTCATTCGATTCATTCGATTCATTCGATTCATTGGATTCATTCGGTTAATTCGGTTCATTGGATTCATTCGGTTCATTCGGTTCATTCGATTCATTCGGTTCATTCGATTCATTCGATTCATTCGATTCATTCAAATGTCAGCTGAATTCGTTTCTTGTTTTTAAATTAATAAGATGAATATTTGGAGTAGTTTTCTTTTAGTCAGAACACGTTTTATGTTACTGTTGTACGTTGTACTGTATTGTAAAGCGCTCAGAGCCTGTGTACTTTAATCTGGGTTGAGCGCTATATAAATATAATTTATTATTATTATTATTATTAATGACTAGTAAAAATTTCACCACCCCCCCCCCCCAAAAAAAAGTTTTCAGAAAATGTAAAAATGTCATGCTCAGAGAGTGACCCCCTCTGTGTCCCTTCCTCAGACTACATGAAGCAGCTGTACACAGACTCCCCCGACTACAAGGACACCACCAGTAAGTCATGTGTCACCGTGTGTCATGTCAGGCAGCGTGCTGAAATCAGGTGCTCGGCAAATTGATTAAATCGGAGAAACAGTCATTTTTCCGCCTGTTTGGACATTTTTATCAAATTTTTTTTTGGGCTTAACCTCTTTTATGCCGATATGAAATCACATTTCCATGTGAAATTTACTGAAAAACATTGATTAAAGGCACAAAATATGTCATTTTTCGTTTTTTAAGCATCTTTAGCTATTGGAGTTGCCAAACTTTTTCACCCCTGATACCAGGCGACCTCACTTCCTTCAATCGCAAACATCTTGAGTTCTATTCAAGATAAATGGATATTTATTTCATTGGAAGGGAGGCAAATAAATCAACCTTCACATGATACCTATAACTCCACATACCCAAAAATTGACGAGGGCCAGATTCAACCGCGTCGTAACATGTATGTGGGGCAGTGTGGTGAAATCAGGCGCTCGTCAAAATAATGAAATTGAAGGAACAGGCGATTTTCCATCGGTGTGGCAATTTTTATACAATTTTTGTTTTTGTGCTAAACGTCTTTTTTGTCTCCATTTAAAACTCATTTCTGTGTCAATTTGACTGAAAAACGTTGATTACAGATGCAAAAAATGTAAATTTTCAGTTTCCCAGGGCTCTCCAGCTACAGACTTTATAAAACTTTGGCGGCCATGTTTTCACTACTTTTACCTCTGAAACCAGGCGAAGCCCACCTCCTTCAATCGCAAATATCTTGACTACCATTAAAGTAGATGGTTAATTTTTTTACTGACAGCAACACAAATGAACAAGCTTTAAGACTACACATGCCCAAAAATTGACAAGAGCCTGACTCCACCACGCTGCCTCACATATGATATGGGTTCCACACCTCTTGTTCACGCTGTGAGGTTATATATAGGAGGCTTGACCTTTAGATTTAATGTCCATCTCCAAAGAAGGCTGAGCCGAACCTGTCTAAGGTGATCATCTGTTCTTGAAGAGTTAAGTGGTCATCTTAGACAGATGGTTCTCTTGGACGTTGTTATTATACAGAAGAAAAAAACCACAAGGGGCTAAGAAGACAGTGGAGTGGGTGGTTGGTGGGGGCTCTGGTGTGGTTTGCTTCTTCTTTCCTATCAAACATCTATCGTCCTTATCTCCCCTTCTTCTTTTTTATGTTTGTTACTCTCTTGTAACACCTCTTATCTTCTGGCGCTCATATAGCCTTATGCAGTTGCTAGCGCCGAAAAACCTCTACTATAACAAAAATACCTCTTGTGTATTTAGCGTATTCATGACAATGCACGTAAAATTAAAAAATAAGTCGTAATGATTTAATTTTTTGTTTTGTTAGTTTTTTCTCAAACTTACTCGTCTTTTTGTCGTGACTTTGTTCTGCAGCGGCCTTGAACATTGTGAGTGAGGTGGCCGATCACGCCAACGAGAGCATGCGGCACGGGGTAAGTGATGGAACACTTAGGTTATGTAGTACATAATTATGATAATTGGTCGCTTTTAAGGACAAGAGGGCTAACCCAGATTTCGGGGGTTTCTAGAAATGTTGACCGACACCAAAAGTGGGCATTGCCTGCCCTATAGCTATAGGAGAAGTTTGGTTTCATTGGTGTGTGTATTTGTTTTTTTTAGCTAGAGAGAAAATTCTCCTTGTTTTTAGTAATGAAACTGAGCAAGGAGCAAAAACTTTACCTTCGATTTTCTCAAAACAGCATTTTTCGGGATAGCCCCCTTGTGCTTAAAAGCGACCAAATTGTGCTTTCCTATAACGATTACATTGACAAAGTTTTCCTTTAAGGAGTTGAAAGCTTAGTTTTTGAGGAATATGTTGTGGGTGGCTTGAGAGCCTCACTGGTTTGTTCTACTTCTTTTCTTCCCCTCTGTTTGTCGGTGGCCTAGTGGTTAGGCTCTCGGACTCGCTACCGTAAGGTCGTGGGTTCGAATCCCGTCAAGGGCCCGACGTTGTGTCCTTGGGAAAGGCACTTTACACAAATTTTCCTCACTTCACCCAGGTGGGAATGGGTACCCGGCTATAGACAGCGAAAGATCTTGTCAGTTTGTTAGTGTTTGAGCGCTTAATCAGCTGCTCGCACTGTATGCTTCCCGGGAAGCTGAGAATGTTTCGGAGTGTTCTAAGGTCTGCTGGGGTAATAATATAGTGTAAAGCGCATAGAGCCTGCTGTTGAGCGGGGATATGCGCTATACAAATGCTATCTATTATTATTATTATTATTATTGTTTTAACCCCTCCACAAAACTATCATTATCATGTTGAGGAGCTTCCATGTACTCTACTGTTTTTCTTTAATTTCTTAACCCTCTCCGTATGCCGTGGGGTCATTTTGTACCCCCAGGGTTGTATTCTTCACATTTTAGAATACTTGTAGTTGGAATATCTCTTTGAAAATTTCAGTATTTCTCAAATTTCCTCTTTGGAAAGTGGTTCAGTGGCACAGAGTTCCCCACGTCGTATGGATACGATAGTAAAACATGACGTACGGATAGGGTTAAGTGGCGGAACAGAGTTCCCCACGTCGAATGGATACGATAGTAATACACGACGTACGGATAGGGTTAAGTGGTGGCACAGAGTTCCCAATGTCGTATGGATACGATAGTAAAACACGACGTTAGGATAGGGTTAGTGGTGGCACAGAGTTCCCCACGTCGTATGGATACGATAGTAAAACACGACGTACGGATAGGGTTAAGTGGTGGCACAGAGTTCCCTACATCGTATGGATACGATAGTAAAACACAGCGTATGGATAGGGTTAAGTGGTGGCACAGAGTTCCCCACATAATATGAATACGATAGTAAAACACGACGTTAGGATAGGGTTAAGTCGTAGTAGAAGACTATTTTTTGTTGATTCAGAAAATACTGCATCTTTTTTTATTGTTCCTATTTTCTTTTTCTTTGTATGTCACTCTCTAGTAACACCGGTTAAATATTTGGCACTTATATGACCTCTTTGTGTTGCAAGTGCTGTAAAATCTTACAGTGGGTGGTTGGCGGGTGCTCTGGTGTGGTTTGCTCCTTCTTTCCTATCAAACACCTATCATCCTTAACTCCCCTCGTTTTTTGTGTTTGTAACTCTCTTGTAACACCTCTAATCTTCGGCAAGTAAATGACCTTATTGTGTTGCAAGTGCCGTAAGACACTTACTAAGACTAAAAAAACTCGTACCAAAATGGAAAAGCTATTGTCCTGATCTGTTGGTCGGGGAATGTAGACTTTATGTACTATGTAAAATGCACCGTGATAAAAACTTTCTGAGACTTATGTTTACTATTTGCCTGGCTTGTGTAGCCAAGTGCATGGTTTTGTCAAGTGGAAAGAGACAGAAGACTAACCCAGAAGAGAGTGTTTAAAGTTGTTTTGGAATTTTGTCAATGATTGTTGCTTACAATTTTTTTAATCTATTGGTTTCAGGACAATGTGCAAAAGTTGCTGGAAATCCAAAGATCTTTGATTGGGCAGTTTGAAGTCATAGAGCCGGGAAGGGTATGTACAATCACATTTTTCTTTCTCGCTTTTGTTGACATTTTGGAAAAGATCTTATATGAGTCTGCAAACTTTACTCCTAATGTGTGGTGTGGTTGGCTTCTTCTTTCCTATCAAACATCTATTGTGTTCGTTACTCTCTTGTAACACCTCTAATCTTCGGCACTTATAATGACCTTATTGTGTTGCAAGTGCTGTAGAACTCTTACTAAAAACTAAAAAAAACTTATAATGTGTCCTCAATTTTCATGTTTTGTGGTTTTGTTACCGTGCCTGTTGTTTGGTGAGCAGTAGCCTAAGTAACAGAAGAAATTTTGATTGCTTTAATAACCCTGTTCCCATTGGACGCTGGGAGTGTCCAGTACTAGTGACAACTGTTTCGTTAAATTTATTGCTAGTTTTTGTTTGTTTTTCAGAATTATTCCCGAACCAAGTTTTTTTTAGTAATGACTAAGCGTTTGTTTCCGCCATCTAGAAGTTGGAGGCAAGCTTTTGGGGTTATAATGAGACATAGTTCACCAGGTTTAGGTGACTGTAGAAAAACTCCGGGAAATGATGGAAAAAAAAACAGGGTTTAAAGAGTTAAAGTTGGTGAAAGTGACGGAAAGTGTTTTGTGTGTTACAAAGTGAACATAAGTAACAAAATATGATTTGGATTGCTCGTTGCCAGGAGCTCATCAAGAAAGGAGAGCTGCAGAAACTGTCGAGGAAGGAGATGCAGCCCAGAATGTTCTTCTTGGTAAGATACTGTTGTGCTGTGTTGGGACAATCATCATGTCTAGGCTTCAGAGAGACCCGAAGGAAATATTTTAGATGCAAAAAATTGCAAGATCTGTTTTCCGTCGTTAATCCCAACAGAATTCTGGATTTTATGAAGGCCATTGGCCTTTATGAGAAGTTGTAAATGAAATTGTAAAATCTCATCATCATCATCTTGGAAAGATACTTGCGGGCAGTATTGCGTACAGACGTATCTCAAAGGCCGCCAAAAATGATGTACGTCTGTATGCAATACTGCCCGCCTACTGTGGTACTGTGTTGTGACAGTTTGTGAACTTAACGTAGAGTAGTGCAGCCATGAGTTCCGTGTGAGCAAAAGCGATGTAGGCAATATGCTTTTTAAGTTTTAAAGAATGGATTGAAAGTCTAATTCTTGTTCTAAATGAGGAAGCCCTTCTTCTTTTTTGTGTTGGTTACTCTCTTGTAACACCTCTAATCTTCGACACTTATATGACCTTATTGTGTTGCAAGTGCCGTAAAACACTTACTAAAGCTAAAAAAAACAACTCTTGTAACTCCTCTATGACCATTTACGACCTTATTGTGTTGCAAGTGTCGTAAAACACTTACTAAAACTAAAAAAACCTCTTGCAACACCTCTTATCTTTGGCACTTATATGACGTTATTGTGTTGCGAGCGCCGTAAAACTCTTACTGTGGGTGGTTGGCGGGTGCTCTGGTGTGGTTTGCTTCTTCTTTCCTATCAAACATCTATCGTCCTCATCTCCCCTTTTTCTTTTTTATGTTTGTTACTCACTTGTAACGCCTCTAATCTTCTGGCGCTCATATGACCTTATGCAGTTGCGAGCGCTGTAAAACCTCTACTAAAACTAAAACAAAAAAAAACTCTTACTAAAACTAAAACAGTCTTCTTATTTTGTTTGCACCGGGCATGAATTTTCGCCTCCTCTGCTTTCAGTTCAGCGACGTTCTCCTGTACACTACTCCGGCCACCGGGGGCTACAAGGTCAACAACGTGCTCCCGCTGTCTGGCATGAAGGTACGTATCTGTCTGCTGGAAAAATTATACTTGTCGGGTTCTTTTTTTTCCCCCACTTTTGCATTTTTGTTCACATCTCACACTTGACATGGTGGGTGGTGGGCGAGTGCTCTGGTGTGGTTTGCTCCTTCTTTACTATCAAACATTTGTCGTCCTGATCTCTACTCCTTCTTTTTTTATGTTTGTTACTCTCTTGTAACACCTCTAAACCTTACTACAACAAGACTTCAGGAACCGTGCTGTACTCTAGTTTTCTGTGTTGTTGCTCTCTCTTGATCATGTGTTTGTTGGGCCAGACTTGAGCTCATAGTTACTTTGTTCTAAATAAGTTTTCACCTCGTTTCAACCAAATATTGTTCTTCGAATATTAAAAATATTTTGTTGTTGAATTTTTGTTGCTGTAGATTGTTCGGCCCAAGTTGGAGGACTACAAGTTTGAGTTTAACATTCTGAGCACCCAACGATCCTTCACTGTGTGTGCCAGGTGAGTACTGAACGAACTTATTTCTTAATCATCATCATCATCATTGTTTAAAACATCATCATCATCATCATCATTTTAAACATCGTCATCATCATCATCATCATCATCTCGTCATTTAAAAACTCATCATCATCATCATCATTTTAAACATCGTCATAATCATCATCATCATCATCATCTAAAACATCATAATCAACATTGTAGTCATTACAGTCATCATCACCAGCATCATCATCATCATCATCGTTGTTGTTGTTGTACAGTAGAAAAATAAGTAATGAAGACTTGAATATATTTCAGGCATTTTGAATGTATTTAAAGCAATCATCGTCATCATCTAGAAGAATCATCATCATCATCATCATCATCATCATCATCATCATCATCATCATTGTTATCATCATCGTCATCATCATATCATCATTTAATCTCCCCTCTTCATCATCTAAAAGAATTCTCATCATCATCATCATCACCACCATCGTTGTATGAAGAAGGAATTAAAACAGTTAAGACGTTGTTGTGTTTCTAAAAAATATATTATACACAGTTCAACGTTCAATCATCACCACCACCATCATCATTGTAGGTAGTAGGGAATAAAAAAAGTACCATCACCATCATCATCATCGTCTCATCTCCTCTCAGCACGTCCCAGGAGAAGGAGGACTGGATCTCCGCCCTACAGGAAGCTGTGGAGGAGAACGCCAAACGGTTCCACACCTTCGAGTGTGTCAAGCATGGACAGGTAGGGACCCAGTGTTTCTCTGTCCGCGTTGTTTTAGGCAAGAGAAATTCTGAAATTATTCAAACTGAGCCCAAAAATGTGGAATGATGCAATTCTGGTTATTTTAACAAAGAATAACAAAGGAAAATTATCAGAAATTATGCAAAAAATGATCAAATTTTGGTAAATTATGCGAGGGGCATAATAGACGTTTCTCTCTGGTTTGATGGTTTGGATATACCCCTCCCTCCTCCAATGAAATGTACAAACACAAGTGTGCGCACGCTCGTGCACATGACTCTCCTCTTTGTATGTAAAAATGGTATCACTCAACTTACTTCGACCTTTAACCTTTCTTTTTTGAGAGTTGTCTTATTTGATGAGACTTTATATAAGATTAGAGAAATCTTTATTGTTTAGACTTTGGCACATTATTGCACACACACACACACACACACACACACACACACACATGCACACACACACACACACACATGCACACACACACACACATGCACACACACACACACACAGACACACATGTACAGACACACACGTACAGACACACACACACACACACATACAGACAGACACACAGACACATTGCACTCACACACTCAC